GTCTTTTACAGCAGCCAGCTCACTTTGTCTTACCAGGACAGCTGAAAAGACCTGTTATTTCCCCACTGTGGGATCAATAAAGTTTTTTTAATCTGACTTTTCCCCACCTTTTGCACCAAATTAATCTGAGGAGTTGATCAGCCCTGCTGTTTAACTCTAAAGTTTTTCTTTGTAAACAAGACTGTATCAAATGGCTTCGCCAAAATCCGGTCCACAACATTCAAACTCTCTGCCATTATGTGCAGCTTGCTACCTAGCTAACTCGCTAGCTGGGACTGGCGTGAGGCTAGAGTGAAGTGTGTCCACCTTTGAGTGCTTTGTGACGGCGGAGGGTTTCAGCAACTCCCACTGGACAGAAACTGACAGGCGTCAGAAAGAGTGATGATAGAAGTCCGTCTCCAAACACAAGCAGATACAATAAAACCCACCAGAAATAAAAACTCGATTTGTTGCTAGTCGTTTTTAACAAAGAAAATGCCGCTAAGACAATTAGGAAAATCTYCGGTTCAGCTCAGAACAGGAACGAAACTAAAAACTGCTCCCACTGAATGTTTACACCAAAACATCTCTGATTCACTCATTTCGCTGTCAATCAAAATGGGATTCAGGCTCAGACAGATCATCCAATCAACATGCAGAATCTGGGCAGAATCCGAGCCCGCCCACTGCTCCATAGACCTCCAGAGATGCTCAGCGTCCGGGGGCGGGACAAAGCCCAGCATTTATCCAATGACTCGTCTTGTTTCGCTGCATTTTTTTGCTTCACTATTGAASTCTGTGGACGCTCAGCGTCCGACTGTTTAAAGCACTGTGAAGCTGCGGGAATGAGRGAGAGGAAAGCTGCATCATTACCAGTGATAAGAAGCTGATTCTGAACAAAAGTTGAGCWCGTTATAGCGCATATTTAGTCAATGACATGAACACAAAGCAGTATATATTTGATCACTTATTTTTTTAAATTTTAGGGGAAGCTGAGCTTCTCTTGCAGTCTTAAAGCAATCGCCTCTGCTATTGAAGTACATCGTTCTTTCAAACTGGTTCTAAATTTAGGTTTCACAAACATCTCTATCCCCTTGAGATTGTAACAACTCTCTCTTTTAACAAAATTTAATTGGATGTTTGGAATATGTTTTTATTTTATGAGCCCTATACATGACCTGTAAAATATAATCAACCAAATCATAGAGCTCTATGATTTGGTTCAATGACTTCAACTGATAAAATAATATATTTGATGGGATTTATAGATAAAGAGACCTGTAGAAGTATCAACTCCAGCTTTTTACTCAAGTAAAAATGTATAAGTACTGGTTTTAACATTACTTAGTATCAACCTTATTCAGCCAATTGTCAATTTTTTGTGTGAGACGGTAAATCCCGTCCGGTCACTGGCTTGCTAATTAACCTTTCATCGTATTTTCTATTTTTAATATATTACATTCCTTGTTGTCAGTTATATAGAAAATATGGACAGATTATAGTGACAGCTATAAATGGTTCATATTTTAAACTTTTTTTAAAAGACTTTTTTTTATGTTATCCATATCTGTTACGTTAGTTCAATCCCAAAAATTTAGCACTGCTTTCTATATTATTATTATTATTATTATTATTCAATATTATTATTATTATTTATTATTATTAAGTTTATTCATATCTTCAAAAATAACATTAATTCAATATACATTTTAAACAAATATACAATTCTATATTAAGCTTAATAGGAGGCAATCTAATCAGAAGAAGGCAACAGTTGGTATGTTATTGCACTGAACAGATGATTTGTTAGCCTACCTTCAATAAGATCACCACTGAATGACTGCAGGACTTCCCCTGACCTGTGACACAGGAGCACCTGGTCGTCTCTGTAGTTCTGCTTGATTTAATGAGGAAACATGCAGAGAGAATATCAGACTTGTTCTGGCTGGGTTGGGCTAAAGCTTTCATGAGCACCAGCTCATCAATATTCTTATAGATTAATATGTTGCCAACCTTTCCATTGTGGAGGTACTGATACTCCTCTGTACTTTTGTAATTGTGAACTGAACATCCCAACACAAGAGTTAAAAATGTCCTCGTACTTTATGTGAGGCCATTTTTTCATATCCTCACACTGGAGAATAGTTTGAGGGTCTGGCACTGACTTTTCACTTCGATTGTTCAGYGATTTTTGGAAATGTTCCCACGACATAGTTCACCACTTTAGTTGAGCTGTTATTTGTTAGCCCAGGGAAGCAGTGAATTGGAAGTGCCGAACAAAAACCTGGAAGTTGGGCAATACTTCTGCTTGCAAAAATAAGGTGGATAGTAGTAAGAGTTATGTAAGACAAAAGTCTACCACAGAGGTCTATAATTCACAACCCCACTTCCCAAAAACACATTTTCTAAAGACAATAATGAYTATAATGTTATATTAAAATGTTAATGTTGAAAAGTTTAGGATGCACTGGTCTACATACATGTATACCTCTGCTAATCTTCATACCAGGATACATATCTGTGATATGTCCTGATGTGTGATATTTGTGTCATGTGCAGATCTGCATGTACAAACTAACACAGGGTCAGAATGGTATTTATTTATACTTCTCATCCAACCACAATTAAATTGACTGTATCCAGGAAGTGCCTTTATATGTGAATGACTTTCTTTTTTCTTTTATGATTATGAGCTGAAATGAAATACTTTTTGCATCTTTAAAATGTAAGGAGTAAAATTTCTACTAAAGTAAAGTATTTGTACTTCATAACTTGACACCTCTGTTAAAATGCAATGAGGTATTAGCAGAGAGAACTCCAGTGCTGTAAAGAATTCTTGTCCCGTAATAACTGAAGGTTTAATTTGTGTTTGTCTCGTCCGTCCCCAGCCTGTCAGCCAGCTCTCTGACGGTGTCCTCCAGCAGTAGCCGTGGCTCTCTGGCCTCCAGCCGAGGCTCGCTGGCGTCCAGCCGAGGYTCGCTCAGCTCCATCAGCTTCAGTGACATCTACGGCGTCCCGCAGTACGAGGGCGCCGGAGAGCCTCTGGATGCCCACGTGCGTTACCTGCTTCCTCCAGAGGGTGTGCCCAGAGACTGCCCGGCGTTCTCTCCCGAGCCCCCAATCCAGAACAAAGCCAAACGCTCGCACGACACCCCGCAGTCCCTGGCCTCCCTCTCCTCCCGCTCCTCACTCTCCTCCCTGTCGCCTCCCAGCTCCCCGATGGACACGCCGTACCACTCCGCCCCCCAGGACTGCCCCCTCACCCAGATGACGGAGGAGTACATGGAGCAGGCAAGCCGCCGCCTCCTGGAGGGGCTGCGGGCCCAGTCTCAGACGTYGTCCCAGTCCTCGGCATTGAGCAGCGAGGACCCGGCGAGCCCCGCTGCCACGCTTCAGCTGGACGCAAAGATTCCCAAAGACAGCGGCGGTCAGGCCTACACCTCCACAGGCAAGTGAAGAGCTGAGCCTCTTTACAAAACAGAGGAGCTGTGAATATTCATTGATTGATTATTTAGGAGTGACTCTGAGGGGAAACAGCGCTAACAGGAGCAGCAGGAGAGCCAGGAGAGTCTCTGCAGGAGTTTCTGAGGACGCGTTGGCAACCGACAGCGGTGTGTTCGAGGCRTGGGGCAAGAGGTGAGAAGCTGCTACGTTTTCTCATAAAACCAGGATTAGATCACACTGCGGGCAAATGCTACGCAAATCCAGTTTATTTAAAACTCTRACCCAGGYMTTTTCAGTATGCGGTTACTCTGCAACGCCTACAAGCCTTTACCAGTGTCATATGAAAGTAGGTAACCCTGAAATAATACATTTCCCCACCAGAGAGTAAATAGACTGCACCAATACAGCACCTGTCTATCCAACAGGACTGTGTCCTTATTTACCCATTCACACTCTACTAGATCTCTCTGTAAAACTACATCTACACCGGCCACTTTATTAGGTACATCTGTCCAACTGCTCATTAACACAAATGTCAAAACAGCCAATCACATGGCAGCAACTCAATGCATTTAGGCATGTAGACATGGCCAAGACGATCTTCTGCAGTTCAAACCRAGCATCAGAATGAGGAAGAAAGGTGATTTAAGTGACTTTGAACGTGGCATGGTTGTTGGCGCCAGAGGTCAGAGGAGAATGGCCAGACTGGTTTGAACTGATAGAACAGCAACAGTGACTCAAATAACCACTCGTTACAATGGAAGTATGCAGAAGAGCATCTCTGAACGCACAACACGTCAAACCTTGAGGCAGATGGGCTACAGCAGCAGAAGACCACAGCAGTTGCCTCTCCTGTCAGCTAAGAACAGGAAACTGAGGCTACAATTCACACAGGCTCACCAAAACTGGACAATAGAAGATTGGAAAAATGTTACCTGGTCTGATGAGTCTGGATTTTTGCTGCGACATTCGGATGGTAGGGTCAGAATTTGGCATCAACAACATGAAAGCATGGATCCATCCTGCCTTGTATCAATGGTTCAGGCTGGTGGTGGTGCAATGGTGTGGGGGATATTTTCCTGGCACACTTTGGGCCCATTAGTACCAAGTGAGCATCGTGTCAATGCCACAGCCTACCTGAGTATTGTTGTTGAACCCTTTATGACCACAGTGTACCATCTTCTGATGACTACTTCCAGCAGAATAACGCTCATGTCATAAAGCATGAATCATCTCAGACTGCTTTTTGAGCACAACGAGTTCATTGTACTCTAATGGCCTCCACAGTCACCAGATCTCAATCCAATAGMGCATCTTTGGGATGTGGTGGAACGGGAGATTCTCATCATGGATGTGCAGCTGACAAATCAGCAGCAACTGTTTGATGCCATCATGTCAATATGGACTAGACTGAGGAATGTTTCCAGTACCTTGTTGAATGGCATGAATGAATGAATGAATGAATGATTGATTGATTGATTGATTGATTGATTGATTGATTGATTGATTGATTGATTAAGGCAGTTCTGAAGGCAAAATGGGGTCCAACCCGGTACTACCAAGATGTACCTAATAAAGTGGCAGTTGAGTCACTCGCACTCATACACTGATGGGACACACATCAGACATGCGATTGAATAATGGTGGAATCCAACCCCCAACTCTGTCATTAGAGGACGACTCCGCTAACCACTCAGCCCAGGGTACAGCACAAAGACTGAAATTAGTGATGAGGATTAGATTTTTTTATGCTTTTTAAGCTCAATAAATAGTGTTTTGTTTTGTTTTCCCTCTAACAGGRCAGAGGACTTTGATGAGCTGTCCTACATGAAAGAACTGACCCCTGCAGGCGAGACTACTCAGATCCAGCTGGGACTGCTGTGAGTAACCCCGCCCCTCGGCCGTTTGAGTCTGTATGAACTCGGCTGCAGCGTTTCTGAACTCTTCTCCTTCCAGGTGGGAGTCTGCCTCTCAGTCTCTCCGGCTGCACCTGCTGCAGCTGAAGAATCTGAGCTGCTCCAGCGTGAGAGAAGGCTATAAAGTGTGAGTGTTTCCAGCTTTGTCGATGAAAGTTGTGTTTTTGAACAAGGTTTGCTTTTTTAGGCTCRTCTTCTGTAAAATGGAAAGAAAACCTGTCTGGTTTCTTTCTCAAAAATATAGATATACAGTTTATTTATTGAAAAAAGTAGCAACTTTTACACAAATCAGAAATTAAATATGCTCAAGTTATATAAAAGTTTATCTGAAATTGCTTTGTTTTGTGTAAGAAATAAAAACATCCCGTGTTAAAAAAAACAAACATTTTTTTCTTTCAAAGTTTCGTGAAGGTGCACTTGATTCCACTGGATGCCAGCAGGGCCTGTGCGTTTTACTGCTGTACCGCTCTGGAGCCTCAGTGCCACATGGGTTTCAACGAAGGCTTCCGTATACCCGTTCCCGCTGACACCCTGGCGGTGTGCGGCCTGCAGTTGTCCGTCTGCTCGCTGGGACCTCAGGCTCAGGAGGAGCTTCTGGTAAGTCTTGGAGGCCGTGGCTCGCCGTAAGCTCKACGTTCGATCTGCGGCCGAATGAAGAAGCTGTGGATGTGTTCCTGCAGGGCACGACCCAGCTCAGCCTGGCAGACTGCGAGGGAAACCCAGACATGGTGTACCACTGGCTGCCGGTCCAAATGAACAGTGATTCACACAGACCAGAACATAGGAGTCTGGCCAACTGCAGACACGACAGCCAGGATGATGAGCAGAGACCCAGAGCCGTGGTAAAAACACACACACACACACACACACACACACACGCGTTTGTTCTTGAACCCTGTGGGGACCTTCCATTGACTTCCATTCATTTTTATAGCCTTTATATCCTAACCCTGACCATATCCTCTAAAATTAACCTCACAGGTTAACCTGACCCTAAAACTAACCTAAACCTTAGTCCTAAACCCAACCCCCCACCCGTAATTTGCATTTGGACCTGTGGGGACCTGGCATTTGTCCCCACAAGGCTGCTTTTTTGGGGGGAAATTGTCCCCACTGTCAGAAAAACAAGGACACACACACACACACACACACACATATCCTTGTATTTGCATCAAAATGAGCACACTATATTGACTTCCATTCATTTTTGTATTTGTGCCTAACCCAGACATTTKCCCTAAAACTAACCATTACTGGTCCATAGTTAACACTAACATAAACCAGAACTTAATTCACACCATACCTCTAAACCTAACTAGTAAAACACAGCAGAGATGCAAAGTGAGGACATTGAAGAGGTCCTCACTTTACATCAAAGATCAAAAAGAAATATAAGTAGGTCCTCTGGATGGGTTCTTTAGTGAAACGTTTCGTCTCTCCTCCAAGAGACTTCTTCAGTCTGAGTTTCAGGWGAACTCAGCCTTATAAGCACCGCCTCCACATGGTGGACAAAGAGGTCAGTCACATGCAAAAGAGGGCCATCGCTTAACAATAGGCTTGATTGGCTCTATTGTTCATAGAGGGTCATCATCATCATTGTTTATTTATAAAGCACAATAAAAACCAAAGTGCTGTACAGGAGCATAAAATAAAAACAATGAACAAAGTACAGTAATAAAATAAACAATAAAATCAAACAAAACAGCAAAGGCTGGCCTAATGATCCTGCTCTTCAGACTCAAATGCCTGTTTAAACAGATGAGTTTTTAACAGAGACTTAAACTCATTTAGAGACCCAGCAGACCTCACAGACAGTGGGAGGTTGTTCCAGAGCCTAGGACCTGCAAAATTTACGTCTCCCCTGGTCACAAGCCGAGACCTGGGAACAACTAAAAGCTTTTGATTTACAGATCTTAGAGATCTATTTGGAACGTGAGGCTGTAATAGCTCAGTAAGATAATGAGGTGCCAAACAATTTAGACATTTAAAAACTAAATCTTAAAAACAATTCTAAAAGAAACAGGCAACCAGTGAAGAGAATACATTATTGGAGTGATGTGTTCATGACGTCTTGTCGCTGTTAATAAATCGTCAGCTGAATTCTGAACCAGCTGTAGACGATGAACCAAAGACTGATCCATCCCACAATAAAGGGAGTTACAGTAATCCAGTCTAGAAGTGGTAAAAGCATGAATAACCCTCTCAAGGGCATTATGAGGCAGATAATCCTTGACTTGACTTATACTGTAAGTCTCAGATGATAAAAGCTAGACTGGACTACTGCACTGACCTGTTCATTAAATTTAAAATCAGAGTCCAAAAACACCCCAAGATTTCTAACAGACACACAGCCAGACAAGGAGTCCAGTGGTCCAACAGCACTACTGCATCCTGTCAGTTTATCAGAGTTACTGAATAAAATGACCTCTGTCTTTTTATCATTAAGATAAAGAAAGTTCAGGTCCATCCATGCGCTCACATCTTTTAAGCATTCAAGTAACCTATTTACTGACTGGGATCCGCTAGATCTTAATAGAAGATAGACCTGAATGTCATCAGCATAAAAATGGTATGACACGTTAAATGTCATGTACCCCATCACCTGACTTATTGGTTTGGATGCTGTGATTCTTAGGTGTTGTCATGTGTATGTAGTGAATGCAAGCGGGGGTTCAACGTCCCCTTGTTTTTGTCCCTCTCTCCCTCTTCGTGTTGGTATCATTGGGGCCCTGATTCACACCTTTTGCTCACAGGGGGCTGAGTCATACTTGCAATAACAACATTGTAGGAGGAGGACAACTGGACACGAAGGCCTCCACCTCTGTTTAATGGTGGATGGTTTTTCTTCACAAAGATGGCTTCCTTTACTCTTTGGGAAGAAAAACCGTGGTGTGTAGTTTGCTTCATCTCTAAAGAGATGCTGCTCTTTAATTTTGTTTTACTGTCTCAGTTGTGTGTGGTGTTTAATTTACATTTTGTTGTTCTTTGTTTTTTTATTCAAGTGCATTTTTTTTGTTAGAGACTGAGAGTCCACTTTGTTAAACATTCTTTAAAAATTAAAGTTTATTGATCTTTGAGAGGATGTACTTACTGTATATATTACGCTTTTATAATTATTAGTTTTAAAATGGTCACGAGGCAATATTATCGCTTATCGCAATAATTTTTGAGACAATTAATCACCCAGCAAAATTTGTTATCGTGACAGGCCTATATTCTGTTGAGATTGTTTTGCACTGAAAACGGACAATTTCTGATTCCTAATGTCAGATTCTGATTGTCTACTGTCTCTAAAACCAAACATATCTTTTTCTATCCTTGCACAATTCTTTATATTATATATTTTTTATTATCAGTAGTTGTATCATGGCTAGTCAGTGTTAATTTCTGTTTTGTGTGCACTATCTATAGTTTATAAAGTAACTAGTGTGTGAACCTCTGTACGGATGCTGCTGTGACACATGAATTTCCCCTCGGCGGGACAATAAAGGCTGTTCTATTCTATTCTATTCTATTCTATTCTATTCTATTCTATTCTATTCTATTCTATTCTATAATACCCAATAAGAGATTGAACATTTTCATCTAATTCAGATGGATTTTTGCTTTTAGTTGTATTTTATTATTCCTTTTTGTAGCACTCTGGTTGAGTATATAAAGCCGTATAAATTAACAACAGAAGGAGAAGCAAGTGACACTCACCGTCAAATAGACTCAGTCCCAGTGAGCGGTGAGCTCCACTAGAACTGCTCAACAACCAGTATATGTTGGCATCATTAACAGATCTCCATCAAGGAGGACTCCGTCAGGTGGTCCCAATATGTGCTGGAAAATTCATCTTTTAATTTCATCTTCGAAAGAAGTGAAGGAGGTGTTCAGAAAGCGGTTCAGCTTTCAGCAGTGAATTAAACCGTCCATCTGGATTTTAGGCTTTGTTGTGTGAAGATGGAGTTTTCTGTCTGATGTCACAGGAAACTACTGCATGTAATCTGCTGTCACTTAAGGCCGCCGCCCACTTGGAGGAGCGAGATGCAGAGCTGGAGCTGCGGAGGTTGAAGAGGGAGGAACACGGGGAGGCCACGTCTGAAAGGTGACGGCATGCTTTTAGTTTTTATTGCATCGTCTGTGAGCCTGGTTTAACCTGCAGTGTGTGTTTTATTGTGTGTTTTATTGTGTGTTTTGTAGGAGTTGGCAGGCCAAGTCTGTGGACAGTGGCTGCAGCAACAGCACAGCCTTTGCAGCTCCCTGCTCTGAGGGTCTTAGCCTGACCACCGGGGGGCGCTGTGATCAGACACCAAGCAAACTGTCTGCAGTAAAGGTCAGGTCTGCAGCAGCTGGAGGGTCCTCACTCTGCTCACTAATAAAGCAAGAATTGGACTTTTTCAAAGGGAAACCTGTTGTTTCAGGTGGAGAAGGCCACAATGACTGAGGGTCCGTTCCCGGAGCCGGTGCGGGTCCGGCCCAAAGAGAGGGGCAGCCGCTGGGGCCACGCCTCTCCGTTCATGCGCAGCAGCACCATCGTCCGCTCTCAGACCTTCTCCCCTGGCGCTCGGAACCAGTACGTCTGCAGGTTGTACCGCAGTGACAGCGACAGCTCAACTTTACCAAAGAAGTCTCCATTTGTCAGAAACACACTGGAGAGAAGAACACTGAGATACAAGCAGGTAAAACCTCAGCTGCTTTTAGACGAGTTGGTTTGAGTTGGTTGTGTCAGACGTGTTTGTGTGTAGCAGGGTTATTCTAGTTAACTAAAACTAAATAACTTAACTCTAAATTGTCCCTAGGTGTGAGTGAGAGTGGTTGTTTGTCTCGTTTGTCTCTATGTGTGTTCCTGTGATGGACTTGCGACCTGTCCAGGGTGTACCCCGCCCCTC